ACCCCCCCCCCCCCCCCCCCCCCCCACCCAACAACCCCCTGCCCCTCGTGGATTTTCGTCGCTTGGGAACGACGTTGTAAAACACGCCGATCGCTTCGTGAGCTCGACAGCCAGGTTACCGCTTGTTTTTTGCCCTTGTTTTTGCGGTAGCCATGATGGTCGAGTAGATCATCTTGTGCGGGTTCGAGAACCCTCACTCCGAGAAAAGGAGATGATGACACCGCCGTTGTGTTGAATTGGTCAAGCACCCTCGAGGCAGTTACACAGTGCTTCTAACTGTCTCTGGAAGTGAAAGCACCAGAAAGTAAAGTAAGTCATTCGCAGCTGTCAAGGAAGTAATCACAAGATTCCGAACACCCTTGGCAGAATGCAGCGCACCCGTCATGCGACTCGCCGAAAACCTCACGGCGCTTCGCGCTTGGTGATGTGAGAGCCCGGTCCGGTGAGAACCCAGCGTGCTCCGTCCCGGCTTTGTAGAGATGCGAGGTCAATGGCCGTAACGACTACGGCATGCACGACTATGAGTACCCCACACACATACACACACCAGACAATCAACAACAAAAAGCTCCACTCCCAACCCCCGTGTGTCATCGCCCTTGGGCCTGTCAGCGGCAGCGGCATCACCAGCACCAACAGCAGCAACTGGCCATGCGCCAAGAGGCGCAGCAGAGGCTAGCCGTGCAGAACCCGCTCTTGTACAGGCAGCAGATCGCCGCCCAGCAGCTCCTTCACCAACAGGAGCGGCAGAACGCGCACCACGAGGCGACCGTCGCGGCCGCCGCCGCCGCCGCCCGTTCCAGGCAGACAGGAGCAGCGGGGGGGGCGACCAGAGGGGGGGTCGACGTGGGAGCTGGGGCCGGCGCTGGACCAGGGTCGTCGTGGCACCACCAGCACCAGCACCATGCGCACCAGGTGGGCCGGAGCGGGGCTAGATGCGAACGGTGGACCGAGTGTTGTCGAGTTTACGGTGTCGCTGCTGCAGTCATGTATCCGATGTTTTGTTTTGTGGTGGCGTCATAGCGGTGGCAGAGGCGCCTCCGGTATCCGTGCGCCGACAAAGCCTTTGGGTTGGGTCCTGGTTCAGGCGAGCTTTCCAGGAGTTTTGTGCGAGTGCTTCCGTCATGGGGTTCGACGAGTTTAGTCCTGACGAATCCATGGGGGGGGTGGGGTTCTGCGGGGACTACCCACTACCCACTCGCCGGATTTCGTACTGTAGTGCTGCTTTGGGTTTCGCCCAGGTCCCGTCAAGCATGTCGGCTTTTTATACTGATATTGCTCCTCTTCTTGATGGCGTGGGTTGTGAAGTGGTTTTATTGAGGAGCACGGCGGAAGTTTGTCTTTTTGTGGTGGTGGTTGCGTCACACCACGTACATGTCTCATCGATCTCTCGCTTGTAGCGTACATGGCAGAGGAGTGCATTTTTCGATTGAATCGGAACGCTGCTTCTTGCTGCTGCTACTGTTGTATTTTTTGCCCCCGTGGATTGTCGAAATCGTGGCTCATGTGACCGTTTGTTCGCGTCCGTTTCTCCGGCGTCTCCCCGGTGAAAAAAAAAGTCTGAATACGACATGAGCGTCAGGATGAGGCAGCACCAGCAGATCATCCTCCAGCGACAGCAGCAGCAGCTGGCGCACCAGCAGCAGCTGCACAGGCAACACCAGCTGGTGCAAGTGGCGCAAGTGAGTCGCTCATGGGACACATTTTGCTCGGGGTACTACCGCGACGCACACGTTACGCACGCAGAGGCAGAGAGCCAGACAGAGGCAGAAGGAGGCACCAAACAGTACCTACCTACCTACAACACCCGTGGGCGATATATTCAGCGCAAGAAAAAGTGTTACTATGCCCGGAAGTCGCGGCGCTCGAACTACTGTCTCCTTTTGTTTCACACGAAACCTCAACGCCCTCCTTCCCTTCCAGCAACACTCTTATGGGAGATACGGGTACCCACAGCATCATCAACAGCAACAGCACCAGCATTATCACCATCAGCAGCAGCGGTCTCGGGACCCGGCGTTGGCGGCAGCGGCGGCGGCGGCTTCGAAGCTGAGGGCCGAAGCCGAGATCGCCGCGGCTGCCGAAGCGGAGCTCAAGCGGCAGGTGCAGCGCGCAGACCTAAAATGCCCTATGATACGAGGAAAAAACGTGTTGTCGTTGGTATTACGCATACACGTGGATTGGAGTGTTGTGTTAGCCTTGGGGGTGTTATGATAGTATTCGGTATGCTCTTTCTGTCGTTGCTGTTGTTGTTGCCTGAATATTCTGAGGTGTGGCGCACATGTTTCCCCATTGTCGAATGGGAGCGTTGCGGGTTTCGAGGAGGAAAAGATTGGATTTGATTTGGCGTCTGTCGGCCATAAAGGAGTTTACTACGCTCGAGAGCCTTCGACGACTTGCGGTCTTCCTTTTTCCTTGGCAGAAAGATTCACCATTGTGGATATCGGGAATAATATTTTTGGAGTACAAGCAGAGTCAACATTCACCACGACGGTAACAACAGCAACAATGACGACGCCAAAAACATATCAACATTCTATGCACTGCAAAGACTCCAACACATGCCGTCCGACTACTGTGGTTATATCTCGAATGGGTATTCTTTTCCGTGTTTGTATTTATTTTTCCGAACAGCAACAATGACGACAACAACAAAAACATAGCAACAACAAAGACATGTAACAATATGAAAGACATTTTAGCAACGACAACGACGACGGCATCTACTTCACCTACCGCCGTAGGACGAGGAAGAAGGCTTCGATGACGCGGTGGACGACGTCTCTTACACGGTGTACCGTCCCAAGAAGCTCGACATCGGGATCCCACACCCTGATCCGGTGGTGGAGAACACGTCCATGGCCGCCGTAGACCCGCCCGAGCTGTGGTACAACCTCAAGCTGCAGGTGCGTGCCTGCCTTATGCGCGCGCGGTCGGTGGTGCTTGCATTATATCTGTCGTTAGGGGGGGTCATTTTTCCTGTGCTTTGGTACTCTTTGTGTTTGTTTTCAGATAGTATGGGGCGGGGGGGGGGGGGGGGGGGAAAATCCCAAACCAAAACCCTTAAAAACCCGGGATTTACCCTAAAAAGGTTTTTTTAAGGGAAAAAACCCGGGTGTTTTTTTCCTCCTTGAAAAATTTCCCCCCCAAAACCCCCCCCCCGCCAAATTTTGGGCCAAACCCCAGGCCTGGGTGGGACCAACCCCCCCCCGGTGGCCCCCAACCTATTTCCCCCCCTTAACTTTTTTCCACAACACCCCCCAAAAATGGAAACCCCCCCCCCCAAAAAAAATAACCCCCCCCCTTGGGGATTTGTCCGGGAAAGGGGAGTCAAACCCTTACCCCTTTTTTTTCCGGGGGCCTTTGTTTTTTTTTGGGGGGGGGGGGCCCCAAAACCAAAAGGGAAAAAAGAAGTTCTCCAATCCGGGAAAACCCCCGCCCCCCCCCTGGGGGGCCACCCCTAACCCGGTTTGGGTCCACAAAATTCACCCCCCGGAAGGGATGGCGCAAGGTTTTTTTTATGAAAAAGGGGGGGGGGAAAAAACCCCCGTTGTTTTTCCTCCTTTTTTTTCCCTTTTCTTTTTA